ATATACAGTGATACTTTTCTATGTTTTTAAATTATATGGTACATTAAATTTTATAATAAATGTTAATAGAACACTTTTGGCATTATAAATTCCTCATTAGTTGCTCGTATATACTGGAGATTGATTAACAGATAATCAGGAATTTAAGCAGGGCATAGTGTTCTTTTTTTTTGATTTGTTTAATTTCTTAACACTTTTTATGTTAATAAGATTTTTTTCTAAAAACTATCAATCTTTTTCTATAAACTACCCAATTTTTTGTTACCTATTTCATTATTTTAGACAAAAAGTCAGAAAACTTTTTCTGTCAAGGGCCAGATAGCAAATAGTTTATGTTTTGAGAGCCGTACAGTGTCTATCACAGCTACTCAGCTCTGCTGTTATAGAACAAAAGCAGCCACAGATGATATATAAACAAATGAGCATGGCTGAGTTCCAATAAAACTTTATTTTTAAAAACAGATGGTGGGCCACATTTGGCCTAATTTCTATCCTAGTGACTTCCATTTGCACTTAGAATAAAATCAGAAGTCCTTTCCATATTCTTTTTAATAAGACCATGTGTACCTCTCCAGCTCATCTTCCAGCTCTCTCACCCACTTTATTCTGGCCACAATAGCCATCTTGCTTTTTTTCAGGCACACTGAGCACCTTTTTCTCTTTGGGCCTTTGCCCTGCTGTTCCTTCTGCTTGGAATACTCTTCTGTCACAGCTTGCTCCCTCACTTCCTTCAGGCCTCTAAGTGAGTGAGGGGCCTTCTGTGACCACTCTCCCATTACTCTTCATCCCCTCACAGTACTTTACTTTTCCTCCAAGCATTTTGCATTCCCTGGCGTTGTATCGTGTATTTATTTGTTCACTTCTCTGCCTTCCCTACTAGAATTTAAGCTCCATGGGGGTAGGGTTGTGTCTGTCTTATTTACTGTTCTGATCCCACCACCTGGAACATAGTAGGTGCTCAGATGTTTATTAAATGAATAAATGAATGAGTTCTACGTTGCCTGATTATTTTTTCTTTGATTTTCCACAGAATGGGGTTTCTGTTGAACCAGTCTGGCCACCATCACTCCCATTCCCACCGCGCATCTTCGGATTCTCCCACCACCGGCCCTGGGCGTGGACCCAGCCATGGGCAGGATAGCCTGGCAGTGAGAGCTGCATTCGTACATGCGTTGGGGGATTTGGTACAGAGTGTTGGTGTGCTGATAGCTGCCTACATCATACGATTCAAGGTAATATGACTGCTACTTTTTCTATTTTAAAATATATTTGATTTCAACGTAAAAAGTAAAGGTCTTTTATCAGTATTCTGGATACCAATACCAGTCCTATTTATTTTGCATCAGTGCAACCTTAATCTGATCATCAGTACAGCTCTTTTGTTAGCAGTAAACAAAGTAGTATCACTTCATGGGGTGATTTCTTTTAGCTGGCTTTAGTCATGCCTTCCCTGGAGAACTCAACTTTAAGCCTTGTCACAGAACTAGGTGGTGGAATGTGCAGTGAGCTAGAAATCCAGAGATCTGGGTTCTAGTCTTGGGTCTGCCATCATTGCTTTGTCCTTGAGCAAGTCCTTCAACTCTAAATTTGAGTTCCCTCCTCTCTAATATGAGAGGCATAGACCAGATGGCTGCTAAAACTTCTTCCAGCTCTTATATTCTATGATTCTGGGTGGAAGATTCAGAGAAGGCATAGAGAACAGTAGAACACATGATTAAGCTTCTGGAAATAGGTCCCACAAGGAAAAGCATGTTAAACACTATAGGGAAGAATGAAGATGTTTCTCAGTTACAACATCCAAGTTTTAAAGGTATTCTCTAACCCTGCTAAAGAAAGCAAAAGAGCAGGGGACAAAGCATGCCTTGTTTTGCTTTACAGTCTGTCTTATGTCTGTCTATTTTTGGAGTCCCTGGGTGGCACAAATGGTTAAGCACTGGGCTACTAACCAAAAGGTTAGTGGTTTGAACCCACCCAGAGGCACCTTGGAAGAAAGGCCTGGTGATCTGCTTCCTAAAGGTCACAGCCATGAAAATCCTGTGGCGCACAGTTAGATTCTGACAGACACACGTGGGGTTACCGTATGTTAGAATCAACTCAACAGCAGCTGGTTTGGTGTATTTGATCACATGTTTTTGATCTGTTACCTTTCAGCCAGAATATAAGATTGCTGATCCCATCTGTACATACGTATTTTCATTACTTGTGGCTTTTACAACATTTCGCATCATATGGGACACAGTAGTTATAATACTGGAAGGTAAGAGCTCACTAATAGCCCCATCATGGGTTTATTACTTCCCTAAGTCAGATTTGGGGGAGGGGAGCACTCTAGGGTAGGAGCCTTGTCTTTTCCTTTCTTTTTACTGATACTTATTAGGCTATGGGAACACCACCTAAAATTTATATAACAGAAGAATCAATGCACTTTCCCATCTGTTATGCCATTTGATCCTTATAATAGCTAAGCAAGGTAGGCAAGGCAAACATTATTATCCCCACTTATAAACAAGAAAATTGGGGTTTAGAGAGAGAACGTATCTTGGTCAAGGTCATACTGCTAATAAACTGCAGCTAGGACAGTAACAAAACCCTTGATTCTTAATGCAGTTATGTTTAGTGTTTTATTAATTCTTTAATTCCATTTAACTTGCAACTTTATTATCTTAACCACGTGCTTGCCTTACTGATATTTTGTATAAGCATGCAAATGTAAGTTCTCAATAGATTTATCATCATTGGATGTTTGTTTTCCTAGCCTAGATAATATAATGAAGTCTTCTGCTTTCATTAGCATTCCTTTTCAATGAGAGTGAACATTTTTAAAGCATTTATTAACCTTTCGTATATATCCTATATTTTTAATGAAAAATATATATGTGTATGCTTTATATTAAAGTATTAATATAAAGTATTCATTTGAACTAAATTTGGCAAATCCATTTATTTCATTTCTTTGGGAAAAAAAAAAGTTCTATCAATTATGCCAACAACTGGAGCTAGAACAATAATGAAACTCTTGATTCTTAGTGCAGTTATGTTTAGTTAAATTTCTTCCAAGAGAAATTTTACTTACAAATGATTTATTCTGAACTAATAGGTGTACCAAGCCATTTGAATGTAGACTATATCAAAGAAGCCTTGATGAAAATAGAAGATGTTTATTCGGTGGAAGATTTAAATATCTGGTCTCTCACATCAGGAAAATCTACTGCCATAGTACACATACAGCTAAGTATGTTGCTGATGGTAAACGTGGGCTGGGGTGGGTGGACTTCTGGAGCTAAACATCTGTGCCTGTGATTAAGTAGGAAGACTTTTCTGCTGAGAAATGTTTTAAGGGAGATCTAAGGCTCTTCCAAAGCGAGGTTGCAGGTCAGTATTGATAGCAGAACAATAATTTTCGATCTCTTTGAGATGAGACGTCAAGCATTTTTTTTTTTACCTTCAGATTAAAAACATTAAGTGTATTTACTATATTTTTTCTATACAGTAAAAGCTAGATTCTGTTTTTTATTTCTATCAGTCATTTCACAAATTGATGCTTTTTAATTTTTATCAAAATAATTCATGAATGTGGTTTGTAAGAAAGTGCAAAAGGACTTTTAATGAAAATCCTTATAGTCAATACCTAGTATTTTCTCTAGAGAGTGAACTGGAGAGGTTGGAATAATGAGATGCTGTTACTAAAAGTTTAAAGTAAACTGACATACTTTCCTAACAGAACAGCTTAGAAAAGGTAGAAATCAGACTAATAAAAATATGTTCACAGGTTATTGTTTTTTCCTGTAAACTTATTCCCTAATGTTCAACTGTGTACAATGAGTACTAATGATGTTTTCTTGACATTGCAGTTCCTGGAAGTTCATCTAAGTGGGAGGAAGTACAGTCCAAAGCAAAGCATTTATTATTGACCACGTTTGGCATGTATAAATGTACTATTCAGCTTCAGAGTTACAGGCATGAAGTGGTCAGAACTTGTGCAAATTGTCAGAGTTTCAGTCCTTAATTTTATGCTTTGGGGACTACTGCCTTATTTATCTGCAGTCACAGACTTGAGAGCAATAAATGCAAACGTAAATAAGAAAGTGGAATCCCTGACAGCTGTCTCCATATTAAGCACTAGTCTCTCAAAACAGTCACTCCAGCTTGACAGTGCTGCTAGTCTCTGCTTAATGGTAAAATGCAACTTCACCGTGATTTTCAGATGAAGATGTTTCCAAAACACTGTTTACAGAATGAGATGTGACTCTGCGGATACCTCACAGAAGACAATCCAAGACCATACTTCATGATGACAGAGTACATGTCTTAAAAGAAGCATCAAGAATTCAGTATTTGCATTTAAAAATACTTTTTAAAGCCCATTTTATAGCAAGCCAGTGCTAGAAAACAGATTTTTTTTTATTATGTAATCTTAACACCCCGCTTCTGAAATTTGCTGCTCTCTTTTTACAGAAATTACTTCTCAACAGATTTCAGAAAGTACTAGTAATTCCCAGAGAGTGGAATAAGCATGTATTTCCAAGTGTTTCAGAAGTGTTTTATTTCACAAATAAATCTTAATGTTATTGTTATACTTTAGAACATCCATAGATGTTATAAATTATAACATTTTTCCAGATGTTATAGGGTTTTGAATCTTAAAGTTAATGTTTTTGACTATTTGTAATCTTACCAGAATCAAATCCTTATATATTGTAGTCACTGTCATTAAATTATTTAGGAAATAGTTTCGGTATTATTCTGAATGGCAAAAATTAGTCTTAAACTCCAATTACTATATGATAATTTAAAACAAAATATGAGTGAGGATAGGGTATGGAGTTTCAGATTTATGGCTCCCCGAAACCACTTTTTTGGTTCATGGAATTGTATTTAAGAACAGCAAGCGCCTACAAAATGTGAACAGTGTTCCTCTGCCCCTTTAAGAACTGTTTTGCATTTTGTACATGAGGTTTGCCTGGTACCTTAGTTCCTGCCTCCATACCAGTTAATCTCTGTGTGCCCTTTCTGGGTAAAACTCTAGAGGGCTAAGGTTCTGTTTTAGTACCCACTTCTCACATGCAGATTAACCACATTCTTCCAAAGAGAAATACTGCTTTCTGATATGGGTTAGGGATTCTTCATGGATACCAGAAACACTAAAACATAATTTTGAAGTTTTCCAATAATACCATAGCAGAAATGCCCATAGGAGTTGGGGGAAGATACTACTTTGAGGAAGAGAATTTCAAGGGTTTTTGACCTTGTGTGTGTTTTTTAAAACCCTGGAATAAAGATGGACATTAAATCTGTGTTGTAGGCAGGCTAAGCAGAAACGTTTCCAAACTGGAGGCAACTGAATCAGTAACAGTTGTGTTAAAGAGGCACCTGTGAATACTCATATTTCATTTTGCAGCTCTTGGTTTTGAGATTCTGTGCATTAAGAGTGCATTCAGTCTGTAACACGCACTATAGGTAAACCTAAGATAAGAAAACCTGGATTTACCTAAAAGATTGTTGAAGGTTAATAGCATCTAATAAAAGGGCTATTGAGGACTGATAAACCAAAAAACCAAACCCATTGCCATCGAGTCGATTCTGACACAGCAACCTTGGAGGACAGAGTAGAACTGCCCCAGAGGGTTTCCATGAGGTGGCTGGTGGATTCGAACTGCTGACCTTTTGGTTAGTAGCCAAGCTCTTAACCACTGTGCAGCCAGGGCTCCAATGAGGACTGATAGTACCTAATAATACCCAGTAAGTGTTCGTTGAATTAAAGTGAAATTCTGCTTCATGGGATTTTTATTTTGAATCCCTTTAAAATAATAATTTGAATTTTTCCAACATTTCAAGAGCATCTAAACTGTTTAAATCAGAATACTCTTAAAGGCATTTCAGTGGTCGTCAGGCATTTATGCACTTTAGATGTGCAGCAAGATAAAGGAAAAGAATACTGTATTTTTACCCAAATAACATGCAGCTTCTATGTTTGTTTGCCAACCACTCCTTCCCCCTACGAAGTATTTTCATAAGTGCCACTATTCCAATTTTTTTTGTGTTGCTGTAAAAAAAAAAAAAATATTAGCATAGCATGCTTATGACAGTTCCTCACAGTATGCATCATATACTAATATTTTCCTATACTTGCCATTTCCCATATCCTACTAAGCTTGTTTCTTATAACTTTCCTATATCCTTTATATATGGCTTTTCATATAGGCCCGTTCCTTTAAAATTACATGATGAAACAATTTAAAGTCCATTTTAGGATTGAAAAGGATCCTTCTGTAAAATGCAGAAACACAGAAAACTTTTGTAAATCTTTAATTATCGTGTTCTGCTTAAAATGAAGTACACATGAAGTTTCCTGTGCTTTGTTTTTGTAGCAAGGACTACAAACTTTGTGCTTGAACTTGTACTTTACTGGGCCTGTGAGACTTGAAAATTGATAGATGTAACTTTTTGTAACTGAAACACACAGAGCAGGATGTTAGCTTAGCAGACACAACTAGGGACCACATAGCTTCTGACAAAGAGTGTTAGGTCCATCCTTCACCTGTTGTGCTACAACCGCGTGCTGCACTTCTCAACTGAGCTGTCAAAAGAAGCACGCTCTCTACTGCCTTTGCGGTGACTGAGTTGGATAAACACATAGCATTCTTAATTTTGCACTGGGAAAACAGATCACACCATAAAAACTTAGTAGTTCTTCCGTGAGGTATATTTTAATTAACATTTGCAAACAATCGGTTACTTGTGTTCATAAACCTGTGTTTCGCAACTCTGGTCAGGTGCAGCATTTTGGTTTATTTTAGGAAAAGAAAGTATTGTTTCATTAATGATTGTGCTACCTGAGCAGCTATATACTGTGGGAAATGTAGGTGAATAGGGCATGTGTCAGAGGGCTGTGAAATACAGAACTAGAAACTATTGTAATTCCTTCATTTTTCATTTTCTGTACCTTGTATCATGTGAGCACAGAATTTCACATCTCACAGCTCCCCGTCAGTATTGTTTGCCAGATCACTGGATTTCTCATTTTACTGTTTTCTTCTCAACTTTGGGTTGAGAAAACTAAGTTTCCATCTCTTATACGTGTCACTGTTCTGTCTCTTGAACCCAGGTGTCCCAAAAGACAGTATTTGCCTTTAATAGAATTTTCCCAGAATAGACATGGGCAAGAGCAGATACATGAGCTTCCCTTTCATTTTAATGTGAGGAAAAAATATCTTTCAGAAACTAGGCACCATTTAGAAATGTGTTTCAGATGGGAAAGAACTTTTTTTTTTAACAGCTGATTGTTTCTGATCCAGATTTCTCTGCACACCGAACTTCATAGAATACGTGTGAGGGACAGAAATAGATGGTACACTGTGGAACCACACGTGTAGATCACTGCTGATAAGACTGAGTCCTGTTTCTGAAACAGCCACTCTCACAGCTTTAGAGGAAATACTCATTCTGTTCTGAAACAAACACAATTAGCAAAACTTATGTTTTATGCATTAATATTAAATCGGTTCACCGTATTGAATAAGGAAACTGAATAACGAATAAGCAAGTGTTTTGCGCTCAGCTGCTAGCCAAAAAGTTGGCGGTTCAAACCAACCCCGTGGCTTTGCAGAAGAAAGGACTGGCAGTCTGCTTCCATAAAGATTACAGCCAAGAAAACTCTATGGAGCAGTGCTATACTAACATATGGGGTCACCATGAATCAGGGTCCAACTGGACGGCAGCTAACAAAAACAATAAGTTGGTCTTACAGAATTTGAGCCCATTTGGAATAAGGCAATTTTGCTACTGACTCTAACTTGTATTTAGTAAATTTAAAGTTACAGAATGTGTGTAGAGATAAGATTAGTTCATTATTTGTCTTTGAACCAAGCTTAGCTCATGAGCCAGTTGATATTAGTCACAAATGAATAGTGACACCTCGCTACATGCTGTATTGAGGGGAGGCAAATCTGATCTCCAAATAATCGTGTTAAGCTCAAAGTTTCTCTAACCAAAGTACCATTTGCAAACCCTGACTCCAGAGCTGTCATGGGGACCTTATTGGCCAGAGCTTCAGATTTGTTTTACAGATCACAAATCAGGGATGTTGCTTATGATGGTGGTAGGAGCACAGAAATTAGAAGAAATTTTGTGGGGTATCCTCAGTTTTGTGTGCATGCCCTCAGCCAGCCCGTCATTGAATTCCTGCTTACAAAGTCTTTAACCTGCCCGTCACGTATTGGAAGACCAACAGATATTGTCTGATTTTTTTATAAGATTGAAAACATTTATGGGGACTTTCCAGTTAAATCTATGACAGTGGCAATTTAAAGAATGCAATTAAATATATTCTGAAATAACTGTAAAAGAAAATTGAAATGTGTTAGTATGTCAGCTTTGCACCTGGGAGATAACTGTATATTTGGAAAGCTTATGCTTCTCTAAATAAATAAGCCATATCACAGGTTAACGGATTGTATATAGTTTTCCATATGCCCCTTCAGAAACCAGGTATTTTGCATACGATTGATTTTAGAAAGATTTTGAAGCTAGGGTTTGTCCATGTAATTTAAGATCAAAGTATAGTGTATGTATATGTGCTGTATTTGCAATTTTCAAGTTGTAATTTCCTATATGTTTATTAAATGAAGCATTGTTTTCACATGCGGTTTACTAAAAAATGAAAAGATATGGTCCCTTAAATCCCTAGTCTTTTATTAAGTAGTAGTAGTAGTCCTTAAAGGACCCCGGGTGGTGAAATGGTTAAGCACTCGGCTGCTAACCAAAAGATCTGCAGTTTGAACCCACCAGCTGCTTTGCGGGAGAAAAGACTTGACCTACTCCCATAAAGATTACAGCCTATCCCGATATGCCACACCGCGCTGCTCAGGTAGACAGGCTCGCCATGACCCCAGGTCTGCCCTGCCCCCATCAGCCAGTTCCTCCACACCATTTTTTTTCCTCTTTCCCTTTTTTCTTTTTCTTACTCCCTCTCACCTAGCCCCATGCACCACCTCCGCCCCTTCCCGATGGGCCATGTGGCTCGGCTGGAGAGCTGCCGGCCCATGGCCGCCTTGGGTCCGCCCCGCCCCCACCGGCCAGCTCCCTCTGCGCTTTTTCTCTTTTCTTTCCCCTTCCCACCCAGCCCCATGCACCACCTCCACCCCTTCGTGACGGCCCATGCTGTGCTGCTTAGCTAGAGAGCCACCAGCACATGGCCACCTCAAGTCCACCCCATCCCCACCCACTAGTTGCAGTTGTGCCAATTTTTTATATTTCTTTTTTCCCTTTCCTCCTTGTACTTCTTCCTCCAACCTAGCCCGGTTCGCCACCTCTACCCGTCCTGATGGGCCATGCCACACCACCTGGCTAGAGAGCCCCATGCCCACCCACTGATTCCTGCTACGCCATTTTTTTTTTCTTTTTTTCCTTTTCTTCTACGTAGCCCTGTACGCAACCTCCACCCTGTCAGGCAGGGTCACGCCTCGCCACCTCGGCTAGAGAACCACTGACCCATGGCTGCCCCAGGTGTGCCCCACCCCCACTCACTGGCTCCCAATGCACCTTTATTTTTTTCCTTTCCTCTTCTTTCTTTCTCCCTCCCACCTACGTCCATACATCACATCCCCTCCCAACTGGCCCTCAGGTCCGCCTGTCACCACCACACTGCCACTTTTTTCTTTCTACCTCCCACCTAGGCTCATATGCCAACTCCCCCCCTTTTCCACTGACCCGCAGGTATGGCCCACCCCCACTTGCCGGCTACACTTTTAATATCTCTTTTCTTCCTCCCCCCTGACCTAGCCCCATACACCATTCCCCTTTACCACTGGCCCCTGATGTGCCACAGCAGCTACAGGATCCCCAGTGCTCAGGCCTTCCACAGCACTGGGCCCGCACTGCCCCCTCCTGCCACTTGACCAGCTGCTGAATGGTGGGAAGTGGGCCTGTACCACTACCTGTCCTACATCCCCACCTATCTGGTGAGGGGCTGTGAATGCTCCCACACAGCTAAACCAACATCAGGAGGCAGACAGGGACCACCCAGTCTGCCCTCAGCCACCTTGCCAAACCAGTGTACAGCGAGGCGGGCTTGCCCCACCTGCTGCTGCCCTGTGCACCTGGACAAAGTAGTGAGAACTACCCTGCTCACAAATGAGCAAGCATCAAAACACCCCTAGCCAGCCCACCCCAACATAGCAAAACAAAACAAAAAAGAACAAAACAAATAACACCTTAATGTCTGAGAGACAAGACAATATCAAAACATATTTTAAAAAGGACAAGATGGCTCCAGCAAGTGACCAAAACAAAAAATTATATGACCTTCTGGTAGAAGAAAAGACAGTGGAACTACCTGATATGGAATTCAAAAGGCTAATATTTAGGGCCCTTCAAGAGATTAGGAAAGAGATCAAGGAAAACCAAGACAAAAGGAAGGAAAAACAAAATCATGGAAGACACAAAACCAACAAAAACATAGCCGAAATCAAGGAAAACACAGACAAAGCAATAGAAGAATTCAGGAAAATGATACAAGAACAAAACATCAAAATAAAAAAAATTAGAAATATTAATACGACAACTAGAAATCCAAAAGATAACAAAATTTCAGAAATGGACAACTCAATAGAAGGTTTTAGGAGCAAATTTGAAACAATGGAAGACAGAATCAGTGAGGGTGAAGACAAATCCATGGACACCATATGAGGATGAATCAGAAAAGAATGAAGAAAACCTAAGAATTATGTGGGACACAAATCGAGAGCAAAAATTTGTGCAAATTCAGAGTTCTAGAACAGGGAGAAAATGGAAAACATAGAGAAGATTGTTGAGGATTTTCTG